TGCGCCCAACCATTAAGTACATCCAGAATAATACAAGCACCAAGAAATGACCTCGAAAACCCATAAGTGGCGAGTAATTAGCATTGCAAAAGTAATAAAATACCAAAAATCCTGCCTGTCGATTTTCAAAAGCCATTGAAATGTAGTTGCAAGATATCAAATTTTGGTTAACAGATCCTTAAGCAGTAATATTCAGGAGTAGCACCTATACTGAAATTTTGGAACAGAAAACCATTTTTGGCCGAAATAATGTTCTTATGTCTATAGCTCCAGTGATTTTTTGGTTGCAATACGCTTCTCTGAACTAAAATTTAATAAAGCCAACCATTAAGCACATCCAGAATGTAATGCCACGCACCAAGAAATGACCTCGAAAAACCCATAAGTACAGCAATTAGTGTTAATTTGCAAAAGTAATTAAAATATCTAAAACCATTGAACATTTTCTGCGCTTCATTTGAACAAGTTATAAACAAATATGTATCAAATTTGGTTAACAGATCCTTAAGCAGCATTATCTGTATACCTATACTGAAATTTTGAACAAAATCCATTTTTGGGCTGAAAATGACGAAAATTGTAAGTTCATAGCCTTAACGGATTTTTGCCAAAAATACGTTTTCTCTCTGAACTAAAATTTAATGTGCCTAACTATTTAAGTACATCCAGAATAATACACAAGCACCAAGAAATGACCTCGAAAACCCATAAGTGGCGAGGCAAATTGCATTGCAAAAGTAATTAAAATATTCTAAAAATCATCGGAATATTTCTGCGCTTAATGAAACAAGTTTGAAATCAAGATATCAAATTCTTGCCTAACAGATCCTGCTGTTGGAATATCTCAGGGAGTACCTATACTGGAAATTTGACACCAAAATCCATTTCTTTTGGCCGAAAATGACGGTACTGTAAGTCTATAGCCTGAAAGCGACAATAAAAATACGCTTTCCTAAAACCAAAATTTAATGTGCCTGTTTAAGTACATCCAGAATAATACACGTGCTAACCAAGAAATGACCTCGAAACCCATAAGTGGCGAGTACCAGTATTTACAAAAGTAATTAAAATATTCTAAAACTATTTGAAATATTTCTCAAGTCGGTTTGAAACAAGCGTATAATCAAATTTTGCTAACAGATCCTTACAGCACATTCCAGGAGTACCTATACTGAAATTTTGAACAAAAATCCATTTTTGGCTGAATGAAGAAATTGTAAGTCTATAGTCTTTAAAGGATTTTTGGGCCAAAAATACGTTTTCTCTCTGAAATCCAAAATTCAATGCCCAAACTACGGCACACCCAGAATAATACACAAGCACCAAGAAATGACCTCGAAAAACCCATAAGTGGCGAGAGTAATTAGGCATTGCAAAAGTTAATTAAAACATTCCTAAAATCATTTTGAACATTTTCTAAAAGCCATTTGAAATAAAGCTATACCCCATATCAAATTTTGGTTAACAGATCCTAAGCAGCAGAACATTCAGAGTAAATTTACTGAAATTTTAATAAAATCCATTTCGGCCGAAAATGACGTACCAGGCTCCAGGCCTTAAAAGGATTTTTAAATAAAAATACGTTTCTCTGAACTAAAACTCTAATGTGCCTAACTATTGAAGTACATCCACAATACATAAGCACCAAGAAATGAACTCTGAAAACCCATATGGCAAGAGTAATTAGCATTGCTAAAGTATCAAAGAGTTCCAAAATCATTTGAACATTTTCTAAAGCTTCATTTGAACAAGTTATAATCAAGATATCAAATTTTGGTTAACAGATCCCATATAAATGGTTCTAGAGTACCTATACTGAAATTTTAACAAAAATCCATTTTGGCCGAAATAGCAGTACCTGTGTTCAGGCCTTAAAGGATTTGTACCAAAGTACATGCTTTTCTTCTGAACTAAAATTTAATGTGCCTAACTATTTAAGTACATCCAGAATAATACACAAGCACCAAGAAATGACCCTCGAAAACCCAGCTAAGTGGCGTATAATTAGGTACTGCAAAAGTACTAAAATATTCTAAAAAATCATTTGAACATTTTCAAAAGCCATTTTGGAATAAGTTATAATCAAGATACTGCCCATAATAGATCCTATATAATATCCAGGAGTACCTATACTGGAAATTTCAAACAAAACCATTTTGGCCGAAATGACGGTAAATTAAAAGTCTATAGCCTTAGCTGATTTTTGGCCGCAAAACATGCCTTTCTCCCTAAAATTCTAATGCCTAACTATTTGCAGCACATCCAGAATAATACACAAAGCACCAAGAAATGACCTCGAAAACCATAAGTGGCGAGAATTAGCAATGCAAAAGCTAATTAAAATATTCTAAAAATCATTTGAACATTTTCTAAAAAAGCCATTTGGAAACGCTATAATCAAGATATCAAATTTGGTTAACAGATCCTAAGCAGCACATTCAGGAGTACCTATACTGAAATTTTGAACAAAATCCATTTTTGGCCGGAAACACGAAAATTGTAAGTCTATAGCCTTAAAGGATTTTTGCAATAAAAAATACGTTTTCTCTGTCCAAAATTTAATGTGCTTCCAATCTATTTATACATCCAGGGAATAATACACAAGCACCAAGAAATGACCTCGAAAACCTATATATATATAACAAAGTACTAAAAGTACTAAAATATTCTCAAAATCATTTGAACATTTTCTAAATATTTGAACAAGTTATAACTAAGATATACTCAAAATTTTGCCAACACATCCCAGCACATTCAGAAGTACCTATACTGGAATTTTGGAACAAAAATCCATTTTTGGCCAAAGACAAAATTAAGTCTAAAGCCTTAAAGGATTTTGGCCAAAATACTTTTCTCTGAACAAAACTTAATGCTCAAACTATTTAAATACACCAGAATAATACATACATCTACCAAGAAATGACTCGAAAACCCAAACGAAAGCATCTACAAAGCAATTAAAATATTCTAAAAAATCATGAAAATTTCAAAAAGCCATTGAACAATTTATAACAAAGATACAAATTTTGTTAACAGATCCCAACAGCAACATCCGAGACCATACTGAAATGAACAAAATCCATTGGCCGAAATGAAGAAAATTGTAAGTCTATAGCCTTAAAGCGATTTTTTTTGGCCAAAATACGTTTTCACTTAAACCAAAATTGAATGCCAACTACTGGCAAGCATCCAGAATAATATTACGCTACCAAAGAGACATCCAGAATAATACACAAGCATAAGGGTACTTAAGGTATTCAAGAAATAATTTTATTTTGTGAGCATTATTAAATTTACCTTCAATTATTATTTTTTAATCTAAAAAGTGTGAGGTAAAGTGAAATATATATACTATTATTAAATAGCGGAAACAATTACTTATAAGGCGAGCTGATAGCAATAATAAGCTCCCAGTTTAAATATCCCATTTTCTTTGATCAACAAAGAGCATAGTAGGGATAACTTTAGTAATATTTCAACATATATATATTTTTGGGGGGATTAATTCAGATATAAAACATATACTTCCAGTCATGAAGCATAGCTAATTACACCGTCTCAGTATTCTTTTACGATTAATGTAGCTTAAATCTTATCAAAGGAGGGTTTGGTGGCCAAGTTGGAACATCTAGCCCCAGGTACTACCGCCTGGGAAGATATTGGAAGCATAATGTGTTGTCTAATGGTAGACCCTGCTGCCGTATGGCACCACAAAAATTGTGACCAAGTCCCAGGTTGCTGATCTGACTTTCTGCCTCATTTACACACAATTGCAGGGTCTCAATTGTTTCTCTTACTTTGACAACACAACATAGTCCATATATTGTTTCTCACTCTTGATCCTTTTTCTTTTATTATTTGTCAAAGCTAAAGGTATACGTGCAGTACATGAGACTCTGACAGCGTGCCACCTTGTATTAAAAATTTCAAAGAGGAGAGCAGAAGACATTGAAGAACACCCTCCCTCTCTCCTTCCCTCCACCAACCATATACATTTTCTAACTTACACGATACACTGAAGCCCACAGGAAGAAAAAACAATTGTCACTAGTAAGAGAAGACAACTGTTGGACCATTCGTGTACTGTGACACAGCCCTAACAGACAACACCTCACGTTTACTCTGCTCACAGTTGAAGAACTATGTCGCCTCTCTTCCATTACCACCAGCAGGAGAACTTCACTGTGTTGAACAGAGAAATTACATTTCCGTATAGTCCTCTACACCATCCTGGCTCTAAACATTGTCTCCATAACAAGGAACGAGTTTTACAGGCACTCAGCTGGACAGGACGGTACATCCCTCGTCACGAACATAAACAGACTGACGCTGCTTACACACAGGCAGTGTCACATAGCGAAACTAATGAATTACCCGATAACCACCATGGACCACCTTGTTATGTGTTTCATTACCGTCAACTTATGGAAGTGTTTACCATCAATTTCATTCAAATGTGTTGATATTTTACAGGGAATAATGAAGGAAAATTTGTGGAAAGTTTCAAAGGGAAAGATAATTAACCTATCTGTGGAACTAATAACTTGTATCAATGTTTAAAATCAGATTTTTTTTTTTACAGGTATCTGAGTCCTTATATGGTTAATCATCAGATGGATGAAGGTTATCCTAATTTTCTGCTCAGTCGACCAGAGATCTTAAAGCAACATCATAATAAACAACTTACCTGCCATCTATCGTCATTTTGAAGCATCACCATACACGTAACCAGCTGTCATCTATCCCCATTCTTCGAAACATAAGTCATTTTGAAGCTCATATAATTATAGAAGGTATTTGGAAAAAATATACACAATGCCTTACAGATTTCCGTGGCAAGTGCATAAATGTCTGCGTTATAAGAACATTGTCTTCTCACTTGTTGATGTGATATAAACAGCCTAGCCATCGCCAAGGAAACCTGTAAGGCATTTTTTTAAGACTGTCTATAAAGTACTGTCTAAAGTAATATAAAAATGATAATAAATAAAAACACGGTCAAAGGGAAAAGAGTTTATTACAAATAGATACAGAATGGCTAGAAATATACAGCCTCAATAAGGGAATATGGTATTGAACTGTTAATTTTATATTCTTCTGGGATTTTTATATGTAAAAGTTGCCCCCGTGTCTTGGTCGTTAAGGTAGGCAAGAAAAAAATTTCTGTAGCAATTCTGAAATAGTATCGTCGTCCATAGTTGGTATAGAGGTCAAAGTCTTAAGAGTTTGTACAATAAATATTACTTGTAAGTGAAGATGTAAAACTGTATAGAAATGACTTCAAGTAAAACATAACAATAATTGACAAGAATATCCCCAAAATCACGCTGACTCTACCTAAATTTTAGCACCAGTTAGGAGAAAACATTATCTGGTATATCAGTTATATATTTTCCTAACATTATGTAAAGATAATTTTGTTTGGTGCGAAGTGAAAGTTTTTATTTTTTTTTATTTTTTTAGGTAGCGTCTCAGTATAATTTTGAAGTAATTTTTGTTGTTGTTGTTGTTAGTATAATATCTTATGTTAATTAATCAGATTTATATTCCCAGTTAAGAGTAATATTAAAAGTACGAGTTCTTGAAGATTCTTGACCCAGTACAGTATTGAATTTTTTTTAACACAGAAACACTGCACATTTTGTGTTACTCATCGTCTTCAATACATTAATTATTCATTTATATATATATTTTACATGAGGTATTTTTTCTTTTTCTCTTTTTTTGGCGTAAAGATAATGTTTTTATTATTATTATTATTATTATTATTATTATTATTATTATTATTATTATTATTATTATGTTCCAAGATTTGGTTACAAGTGGAGAAAGAGTTTGACTCCGAGGCGACGCTCGAACAATCTTGACTGCTGAAGTTTGAAGGAGAGTCACTAGTCTCAAACGCTTACTTGGCAAACTTTCTTCCTCGGGTTTGATGAAGTTTCCAACAGAAGAAAATCTCATGGAAAGATTTTGGAAATAAGAAAATGCTTACTATAAAAAATTGGGGTGAAAAAGCTTATAGAGAGATAATGAGTCGAGGCGAATATTTGATATGATGAAGAATTGAAAAAAATTAATATATTTTGGAAGATATGAAGGAAAAAGTAAGGAGTAAAGTTTAATTAGGTGTCAAGATTAACGTTGAAAACGATATCGCCTTAAAATAACGTATAAAAAAATATAAAAATAAAGACTAGGCAAAGATTAAAAATAAATAAATCTTCCTGGAAAACTAATGTACACAAATGAACTAAGAATTAAAATAATCAAAAATATATAACGGTGAAAATTATATGGAAATATTTAAAAAAAATCTGATATAGATTTAGAATAAGATTTCGAAAACCCTGTTTAATTTTATAAACACAAGACCTCAAAGTTTATATTAACGATTCTTGAAATAATACTGACTGAACTTCCTCCTAAACATATCAACAAATAAACAAAATAAACAATAATTATCACATTAACATAAGATTAATATAAGTTTTGAGAGAAGATTATTTTGTCTACGTGTGTTGTGAGGAGAAAGTTTAAAAGAGCCAAGAAGCTTAAACATCACTCTGGTATTGTTGGTCTACCTCCTTTTATGGGTAAGGTATAGCGTCCATATATGCATGTATGTATTTATGTTTTCACTCGTAATTGTTTCCTTACATTGGTTTTTTTAAAGCTATAGACACACACACGCGCCTATGGTCCACTAAACTTACCCTTTAGGTAGAAAAAAAAATAATCATCAGTCTTACCCAAAAATTTTATCGAGAAGCATAACTGGATTAAATATTATTATTATTATCATTAATATTATTATTATTATCATTATTATTATTATTCTTATCATTATTATTGTTATTAGTAGTAGTATTCTTACGATACCAGTCCCTCTTCTGCCGGAACTTCTGTATCAACTTTGTAGAAAAAATCTTGATAAGAATGAAAGAGAATTAAAAGAAGGATAATTGAAGGATTTAAATTGCAAGCATGAGGAAAAAATTGACAACACACGTCAATTCTCTCAACAGGGAGCCAGTGCCACAGGAGAGCCAGTGCCACAGGAGAGCCAGTGCCACAGGAGAGCCAGTGCCACAGGAGAGCCAATTTTATACTATTTTTCCCTTATTTTCCTTCACTTTATGTCATTTCTAATTAATATTTAAAGATAAAGATTCCAAAGTTGATCTTCATGTGTCCTGGTATGACTTGCTGTGATAACCTGGAATGATGGACCTGGTATGATAACTTGGTGTGACCTGGTATGATGATGACTTGGTATAATGCCCTGGTATAATGACCTGGTTTGATGACTTGGTGTGATCTGGTATAATGACTTAGTATGATGACCTGGTATAATGACCTGATATGAAGATGATCTTGGTATGATGACCTGTTATGATTTCCTGGTATAACGACATAGTATAATGACCTGGTATGACTTGATATGATGGACCTGGCATAATGACCTGGTATGACTTGGTTATGATGACCTGGTACAATGACCTGTTGAGACAGCAGTTAAATGGCACCAATTGGGACATAATTAGACTTACAATTGGGATCTATTAGGATGGGGGCCTAAATGACCAATCAGAGAGGTGTGTATGACTGTGGAGTAGGTGGTGGTGGAGTGACACTTTAGACGATGAGGTGGATATATCGTCCTTGACAATAGATGGCTGAAATATGCGAGTGTGTGACTGTGTGTGTGTGTGACTGTGTGTGTGTGTGTGTGTGTGTGTGTGTGTGTGTGTGTGTGTGTGTGGTAAACCTTCAGTCAAATCAGCTACTGGTACTTGATAACAGGCCTTCGAAATCTGCAAAAATCGGAGGCTGTACTTGTGCTAGTATCGATTCTAAATTTTATACTTACTAATCTGTCTTTTTGTAGATCCTGAACCTAACGAATTCTCCAGTGATGTATTTTTGTTTTACTTGTTAAAAAAAAATCTGATGTCATTTAATCTTGAACTATTCAGAATCTCATTTGAATTCCTGATAAATAGGCACTAATAGATTTTAAAACTCCATAAATCTATTGTGGTAGATTTTTAAAACTTTCCTAAAAATCTATATGGTTGATATTAAACTCATTTAAAAATCACTGTAGTGGATTTCGAACTTATAGAAAAAAAATATCTGCAGAGACTATATACTGTAGTTTCAACTTCCCCTTGACATAGAAAACGGATCCTGCAGCACTGGCTTGGGGTAACTCTTACAAACAGTCGTCCACTCTTACCCTAGGATAGACGGTCTCCAACAGACATTTACCACCAAAGGAAATAATAAAAAAAGAACCTTTAGGTCAAGAGGAATTAAGGCTCAACGTAATTCGTTATGTAGGTTCCTGTTGTGTCTTTGTGGGTCTCTATATATTACATTATATAGATGAATTGTAACAGAGAAAAACAATTCATAAATTAGACGCCACTATGACACTTATACCCAAAACACATTTCCTTTGATAACTCTCACATATTCTTGGACATGTACTCTTGGATACATAATCTTTGGACATGTATAACTGGACACGTATTAATGTTTGGCCACATATTCCCTAGGCGAATGCTCTTGAAGGCATGTCTAACAAACACGTATCCTAGGACATAGAACCTCGAATGATCACCCTTAGGAGTCCTAATCTCAGGCACGTGTCACTAAGACTTGAGTATTTGAAGACACGCCTTCCTGGACATGCCCTTCATGGACACATATCCTAACCCACGAACTCTCAAGACACGTATCCATCAATTCGTTTTAGGACAGAACCAAAATGAAAAACAATTGTTCTTCCATCCTTATACAACTGTTTGAGGGATCATCTAACAGGGCCTCAGGTGGCACCATACTGTGTGTGTGTAAGCCCCCCAAACCAACAGTGTCATACTAAATCTGAACCATTAAGCACGCACGCACGCACGCACGCACGCACGCACGCACACGCACGCACACGCACACACACACACACACACACACACACACACACACACACACACCAGTACAGTATCACCTGTGAGCCGTCAACATGACCCCTGTAACACACCTTACTCTGGGGAACAAACACACAACCTCAAAAATTGAAGTTTCTTTTTTTTTATATATAATAATAATTAACAAGTTTGTTGTGGATTAATATTATTATTATTATTAGCACAATTAGAGACTTGTTCTTCTCTAGGTAGGAGGAGATGAGTCAGGTAGGAAGGAGTGAGTGTCTTGTCTTGAGGTTAGGTAAATAAATTGTTATAAGTATGTACAATAGAGGTTTCTCAGCCTTGCATAATGCGCCAGGAAGCTATCACAGTGTTGAGGCTGCCCCGTCATGGTAACTCTCACGCCCTACAACTGAATAAGCCCCTCTATGTCAGTCTGGAGGCAAAAAAAAATAATCACTAGTTTGAAGTACCGAAGGTCCCTCCAAAAATTACATCAGAAAAAAAATATATATGCGTATAATTCTTTTGGGTATATTTTGACTGATGGTGGAAAAATATCGTTAGTTTGAAGCAATTCCCTCGATGAATTTCCGGTTTAATTAACTGTAATCTATTATACCATTTTTTTCGAACAAATTATTATTTTTTTTTGGTGGGGGAAGAAATAACTTTACCAAACAGGATTATAAAATACTGTACTTTGGAAAATATTACTAACTGAATCTTTACGACCGAATCATGTAATTACCATCTTAACTGTCTTCGAATACTCTCAATTACTTCAGGAATTAATTACCTTAACAAAACATTAATTTCCATCAACCGATTACTTTTATCAACTAATTGCTATAAAAAAATTCAATCACCTTAGAAAATATCAAAGGTTTGTTATTTTAAATGTAAAAAAAACTACCATATTAAAAAAAAGAAATAAAAAATAATTGCCTAAATTAATATTACTGTAAATGACAAAAGAAACTAGTTATCTTAATATCATAACTTAAAATAACAGTTATCTTAAAAAATACTAAAGAAAAATTTCCTTAAACTAAAAGACTTAAAAATCTAGTTAACTTTAAAATTTATTACTTAAGATATTGCCTAAAACAAAAATAGTTTACCTTAAAAGTAATTACTATACTTAAAAAAATTCTTGCCTTAAAAAACAATTATCTTAAAAACACGACTTAAAAGGTCAATTACATTACAAAAAGACGGTAAAATACAAGTACTGTACCTGTAAATCAAACCACTTACTTCACAAGAAAAATTACCTTCATATGCAAATTACAAACAATGATTATTTAAAAAAAATCAATATTACCATAAAAACTCAATTATTCTAAAAAAAATCTGATAACATATTATAAAAACATCTTGTAAATTGACTTTTGAAACTAGTTAATTAAAAAAAGCTGTTATTTCATAGATTCCATTTCATGAGCATTTAAACTTAAAAAAACAACAAATTACTTTAACAACTACAATACCTCAAAAAAATTACCTTCCCAAAAACTACAATTATTATACAGTACTTAAAAACAGATACATTGAAAATTCCCTTTTAAAAGTATTTACTGTACCTTTCGGCCCTAATATACATCCCTTTAAAAAAAACTTTGACCTTAAAATCCTCAATTACAATACAGTACTTTCAAAAACCACTTTAAGTAATTCTAGATACCACTTACTTTCCAAAAAACGATTACTCTACTTTCAAAAATCAAATTACCTCCAGAAAGGGGAAAAATACTTTCAAAATACCGTACCATTTCCTTCAAAGTTCCACTCCTCCAAAAAATATATATACAGGTACATTATATAAAAGCCTTGAGAGACTTTTGTTTTTCACAAATGTACTTAATATCTACACTACACAATGTCTGTAAGATTGCCGAAATAAACTAATTCCATATAATTTTTTTCCAACAATTAAAATTTTATTGAGGGTTAATCTGGTAAGTACGAAGTAAATAAATAAGTCAATAAATCTCCCCCTTTTTTGATAAATGAATTTCGTCTATATTTCGAGGTTGAAAGTAATGTTGGAAAAACTTCCAGTATAAAAAAAAATTTTGTCTCTTTTTAACTGAACTTTGTACGCGAGTTGAGGCGAACCTTCGAAATTTATTTTATTTTCTTCTAAATTTTCCTTCACTATTCAATTGTTTATTTTCATGTTATATATATACATGCATATGTGTATACAATATATTTCTTTTCGTTTAGTTTCGGCATGAGAGAGCGAGTTAGGAAGGAACAACTCTCTAAGGTATCTGAACAAGGTAGGAAAGGCTATACTTTGGACCAAGACAGCATTCGTTCAGATCCGTGGACCGACACAGGTGCTGGGTAAATTAAGTTGGGACGGCTTTATAAATTCCGCGTTCCACACCTTATGCGTCTCTACCTCGACGCACGTCATAACGAGATATTTTCACCTGAAAAATATTCTTCCTCTTTAAATATCGGAAGAATCGTATAACAAAGTGAATTAAGGGGTCAGTTCAGGGCTTCAAAGTTGGCACTATACTATCTGTGGTGCCTGTGTATGTACAGGAGACATTTATAGTGTGTCTAGCAGTCCAGAGATCAGTGTCGTGCCAACTTTGACCCCATGACCTGACCTCTTAAATATATCTTAAAATAAGTAGGCTTAATCTGGGTTGTATCTCAGAACAAGTCAAGGCTAGATTTATCAAGCATTCTCAGCTTTGTTCCTCATTTACAAACGTTTCACATCACTCAAGAAAAAAAAACGTTCTGTATCCCCCCGAAGAAACGTTTTTGGTGACGTCATTCACTGTTTACGCCTGCAGTGGATTTACAACGAATTCACTTGTTAGTTTGGCATTCATTCACTTACATCACACGGTCCACCTTCGAGAGTAGTCAGTTCCTTACTGTTTTTTCTTTCAGTCACTCTCTGATTCCTTGTTTTAATTTCTCTATCTCTTCCACGCTTTCCCTTTCCACTCTACGCTTCCTTACTTCGTCTTCATCACTTTCTTTAATCGCATATTTTCTTCATTTCCTTTTCTCTAATATAACTTTCACTCTTCCTCATTGTAATAACACTCCTTCATCTCTTCATTTTCTTTCGTCTCTCTTTTCTCATTAATTTCTCCTAATTCTTCCCAACCTTCTTATTTCCCTCTCTTTTTCCTCCCTTTTCCTCACGTTCCTTGTCCACTCTTTTCCTTTCTCATTTCCTATTGTTTATAATTTCTCTCATATTTCTAATTCTCTCTCCTATTCATTTCCTTTTTTTCACTTTCTATTCCCTATCCTGTCCACTTTTCCCTTGCCCTTTCACTTTCCACTTTCCCTCACACCCTCGACGTTTTTAGTCCACTTTTCCCTTGCCCTCTCACTTTCCCCTTTCTCCCACACCCTGACGTTTTATAGTTCCCTCTCACTGCCCTCTCACCTATGCACGTCAGTCTGTCCTTCACATAATACTAGACCGAGTTTCTCTTCTGCGCCAACGTGGGTGTGACGTCACTCTCTGAGGAGGAGGAGCACAGTTCCTCCTGAGTGTCCGTGTGGGTCACTTGCTGCTGTTCTCTCTCCCGCTGCAGATGTTCCCGTTGCTGCATTTCCCGTTGCTGTTGCTGCTGTTCCCGCTGTTGCTGGAGCCGTTGTCGACGCGGGAGGATGTATGAGAGGTTCATCGACCGCTTGCGGAAGCTGCGGAAGGAAGGAAGGAAGGAAGGAGTAAGTCAGGTCAATACATAAAGGAGGTATTTTTATTTTTTTTATTTGTCAATTTTGTTTTAATATTGTGTCTTAAGTGTTGTGGTACAGAGGTGTTGTGGTGTTGTGGTACAAAAAAATACAAGTAAACTTATTAATTAATGGCTACCTGGATTGTGGTGGTGGTGGTGTTTAAGATAACGAGGTTACATTATGATTCTGGCTAAGATAACGAGGTTCATTATGACTCTGACTATACTGTAATTAACTCTTAAAATCTCAAAGGCTCGTAAGTTTAATTTTCTCCCTCAAACTCCCTCTTAGGAACGTATCTAACATAGAGCACTAAAGCTGCAACATCAAGATAGATTCTCATAGACCCGTTAAGGTTAGGTTAGGTTAGTTTAGGTAATGGTAAGGTTAGGTTAGGTTAGTTTAGGTAATGGTAAGGTTAGGTTAGGTTAGTTCAGGTAATGGTAAGGTTAGGTTAGGTTAGTTTAGGTAATGGTAAGGTTAGGTTAGGTTAGTTTAGGTAATGGTAAGGTTAGGTTAGGTTAGTTTAGGTAATGGTTGGGTTAGGTTGTTAGTTTAGGTAATGGTAAGGTTAGGTTAGGTTGGTTTGGTAATGGTAAGGGTTAGGTTAGTTTAGGTAATGGTAGGTTAGGTTAGGTTAGTAATGGTTGGTTAAGGTTAGTTTAGGTAATGGTAAGGTAGGTTAGGTTGGTTTAGGTGAAGGTAGGTTAGGTTATTGGTTAGATAATGGTTAGGTTAGTTTAGGTAATGGTAAGGTTAGGTTAGGTTAGTTTAGGTAATGGTAAGGTTAGGTTAGGTTAGTTCAGGTAATGGTAAGGTTAGGTTAGGTTAGTTTAGGTAATGGTAAGGTTAGGTTAGGTTAGTTTAGGTAATGGTAAGGTTAGGTAATGGTACATGGGGTTGGATCTCAAATTCTTACAAAATGGCCTCCAAAGTGGACTGAGACTCGGGTATATTAGAGGGATGTTGTCTATATATTTATGGGGTTAAGACACCATAAGGCCGCTGGTGCACCAAGACGTGTGTTCCAGTGTAAGTTTGAAAGTTGTTGAAGAGCTTTTAAACTCTCCTGAAGACTTACCTGTAGGAGTGGGTGAAAGGGATAATAGAACGACTCACCTGTAAGAGGGGTGCAACTTACCCGTAGGAGTGGATGAAGGGGATAATAGAACGACTCACCTGTAAGAGGGGTGCAACTTGCCCGTAGGAGTGGGTGAAGGGGAGGGCCTGACAGTAACTCACCTGTAGGAGCGGGTGAAGGGGAGGGAGTGACAGTAACTCACCTGTAGGAGCGGGTGAAGGGGAGGGCATGATAGCACCTGTAGCTCACAGTAGCTCACCTGTAGGAGTGGGTGAAGGGGAGGGCCTGACAGTAACTCACCTGTAGGAGCGGGTGAAGGGGAGGGAGTGACAGTAACTCACCTGTAGGAGCGGGTGAAGGGGAGGGCATGACACGGGGCACAGGAGGCGCAGGTGCAGGAACAGACGGAGGTGAGGTCGGTGAAGGACGCGCCCTCCTGAGGACACTGGCCAGACAGTATGGAACCGTTGGCTGTGATCACATCCCCTTCCAGCCGCACCGCCCCCGCCGCCGCCTGCAACACAGGTCAAAGGTCATCATGCCTCTCCTAGGTCATCCTCAGGTAGGTCATCCTTCAGGTAGGTCATCCTTCAGGTGAGTCAGTATTCATGCAGGTCGCTCTTCAGGTAGGTCATCTTTCAGGTAAGTCATCCTTCAGGTAAGTCATCCTTCAGGTAGGTTATCCTCAGGTAAGTCATCCTTAAAATAAGTCATCCTTCAGGTAAATCATCCTTCAGGTAGGTCACCCTCAGGTAGGTCATCTTTCAGGTAAGTCAACCTTCAGGTAGGTCATCCTTTAGGTAGGTCATCCTTCAGGTAAGTCATCCTTCAGGTAAGTCATCCTTCAGGTAAGTCATCCTTCAGGTAAGTCATCCTTCAGGTAGGTCACCCTCAGGTAAGTCATCCTTCAGGTAAGTCATCCTTCAGGTAAGTCATCCTTCAGGTAAGTCATCCTTCAGGTAAATCATCCTTCAGGTATCATCCTTCAGGTAAGTCATCCTTCAGGTAGGTCATCTTTCAGACAAAATCATCAGCCTGGGTAAGTCATCCTTCCAGAGTAAGTCATCCTTCAGGTAGGTCATCCTTCCAGGTAGTCATCCTTCAGGTAGGTCATCTTTCCAGATAAGTCATCCTTCAGGTAAGTCATCCTTCAGGTAAATCATCCTTCAGGTAGGTCACCCTCAGGTAGGTCATCCTTCAGGTAGGTCATCTTTCAGATAAGTCATCCTTCAGATAAGTCATCCTTCAGGTAGGTCATCTTTCAGGTAAGTCATCCTTCAGGTAAATCATCCTTCAGGTAAATCATCCTTCAGGTAGGTCATCCTTCAGGTAGGTCACCCTTCAGGTAAGTCATCCTTCAGATAAGTCATCCTTCAGGTATGTCATCCTTCAGGTAACTCATCCTTCAGGTAGGTCATCCTTCGGGTAGGTCATCCTTCGGGTGTGGTATCCTTCAGGTAAGTCATCCTTCAGGTAGGTCATCCTTTAGGAGGGTCATCCTTCAGGTAGGTCATCCTTCGGGTGTGGTATCCTTCACATAGGTCATGTAAAATGGGTTATCCTTCAACTATCTAACCTAACTCCTATGTCGCCCTTCGGTAAATCACCCTTCAGACAGGTCCCCCTCCAGACAGGTCCCCCTTCAGACAGGTCCCCTTTCAGACAGGTCACCTTCCAGACAGGTCCCCCTCCCGGCAGGTCACCCTTCAGCTATGGCAGAATCTATCTCAGGTAAGGTCAGAGGTCATGCTTCAAACAAGTCAATGGGTGATATTTAACGTGATTTGACCCTGAGTAAAACCTGTATCAGTCTACTCTATAAAATAAAACCTAACCACCCCCCCCAGGTTTCGTTAGGGGTGCTTAATCTTCAGGTGAAATAAACTGGGGGGTTAATCTTCAGGTGGTCCAGATATTTTACGAAATCATGAATAAATAACAAAATAAATGTCGTAACTCTTAAAAAAAATCGTTTGTATCATGGTTTTATTTTTTTTTATCAAGACTTTACAGAGAGAGAGAGAGAGAGAGAGAGAGAGAGAGAGAGAGAGAGAGAGAGAGAGAGAGAGAGTACCTCACCCACTCCCCTTCCCCCTTCCTCTACCCTCATTCCCTCTCCTTCCTCCCCTCACCTTACCCTTCCAGTCCTCTTCCTCACCCCCTTCTCTCCCCCTCCATCCATCCTCCCTCCTCCTACCCTCACCCCCCCCTTGGTGTCGATAATTAATCAGGTGATTCATCAGTCGACAATTACCTGAGTGTCTAATGTCTTAATTACATAGGTAGTCAGTGGTCATTATACCTTTCTTCTTCATTATCTCTCTCTCTCTCTCTCTCTGTGTGTGTTGCTGTCTCCTCCTACCTCCTTTTTTCCTTCCTTCCTCATTCTACCCCTTTCCCTCCCTTTCATATCCTCTCCCTCCCCTTCTCTTCTGCCCTATTCCCCAACTCCCTCCTTCCTTTGTTCTTCTCTCCCCTCCTCCTTCCCCCTCCTCCTTCCCTCTCCCATTCTCTTCCATCATCCCTCTCTCTCTCAATCCCGTTCTTCTCCAAACCACACCCTTGCCCACCCCCCCTCCTCCTACTCTGCTTACCCCTCCTCCCCTCCCATCCCCCTCCCACCCTCCCCCATCCCCCTCCCCCACACCTCTCCCATCCCCTCCCCATCCCCCTCCCCCACACACCTCTCCCATCCCCCTCCCATCCCCCTCCCCACACCTCTCCCACATCCCCCCTCCCACATCCCCCCTCCCACATCCCCCTCCCACATCCCCTCCACACCTCTCCCTTCTGCCTCGGCTTCGTCACGTCTTTCGTCCTCAGTGTTCATAGTGACGAAACGAAGGACGAACAGGTTGAGAGAGGCGGCGACGATGGCCATGCCGAAGAGGATGAAGATAAGGGCAAAGGCCACATACTCAGGCTTCTGGTCCAAGGCGTGATCCTTCTGCAGCGCCACCATGTCCCCAAACCCTGCGGCAGGAGACAGTAGTAGTAGTAGTAGTAGTAGTAGTAGTAGTAGTAGTAGTAGTAGTAGTAGTAGTAGTAGTAGTAGTAGTAGTAAGTTTGGTAGGTTAGGTTTGGTTAAGTTTGGTTAGGTGAAGACGTTGACTTTGATGATGATGATGATGATGATGATGATGATGATGATGATGATGATGATAATATGGTGATAATGGTGACTGATGGTAAGGATGGTGACTGTTCAAAGAGGTGACTACAGTTGAAGATGGTGATAATGATGGTGAATACTTAAAACATTGATAATAGTGTGAATGGTGACTCTGATGGTGGCAACAGTGGCATTAATGGTGTACGTATGGTGATTAGGTAAATAATTAATTATAATGGTGACTACAACGGAAATAATGGTATCTACAGTGATGACAATGGTGACTAAAGTGGTGATAATAATGGTGATGACTTCCCTATAGTGATGAATGACATACCCTATAGTGATGATGACCTACCTATAGTGATGAATGACCTACCGTAGAGTGGTGTGATGACCTCCCTATAGTGACCTACCCTATAGTGATGAATGACCTACCCTATAGTGATGATGACCTTCCTATAGTGACCTACCTATAGTGGTGAGGGTGATGACGCAGTAGTAGACGGAGTCGAAGTAGGACCAGCTCTCGTAGCGGGAGAAGACAGCGGCCCCCGAGGTGATGGTGATGGTGGAGAGAGTTGTCACCACCAAGATCAAGTCTATCTCTGTGGCATCTGTGTCCTGGCACTGTGGGAGGAAGGGGGTGGTGGTTAGTGGCACTGTGGGAGGGTTAGTGGCACTGTGGGAGGGTTAGTGGCACTGTGGGAGGTTGAGTAACTGTGGGAGAGGGTTGTGGTTAGTGGCACTGTGGGAGGGTTAGTGGCACTGTGGGAGGAAGGGGGTAGTGGTTAGTGGCACTTATTAGGGAGGGTTAGTGGCACTGTGGGAGGAAAGGGGTTGTGGTTAGTGGCACTGTGGGAGAGTTAGTGGCACTGTGGGAGGGTTAGTGGCATCCAAACTCTCTTCCACATCCATATATCCTCTCTCTCTCTCTCTCTCTCTCACCAAACACCCCAATTTGTCCAGTATGAGAACCAAGACTCACAATCCTCCTGACTCATATCTTTCGCGTCATTGGTTACCTTCGTGGCGGCGGCTCTCAGGGCGGCAGAGGTACGATGTTCTTTATACCTGAGAGAGATGCCGTGTTCCCCCGATGGTGTTATAGTGTGGTGGTGATAGTGTGGTGGTGGTGGTGTGGTGGTGGTGGTGTGGTGGTTGGTGGTTGTGGTGGGGGGGTGATAGTTGGTGCTGGTTGTGGTGGGTGGTGTTGAAGTGAGAGGTGGTGGTGGTGTTGATATAGTGTGGTGGTGGTGGTGATAGTGTGGTGGGGGTGTGGTGGTGGTGTTGATATAGTGTGGTGGTGGTGGTGTTAATAGTGTGGTGGTGGGGGTGATAGTGTGGTGCTGGGGTGTGGTGGTGGTGTTGATGGTGTGGTGGTGGTGGTGTTGATATAGTGTGGGTGGGTGATGGTGCAGGGGTGTGGTGGTGGGGGATGGTGGTGGTGTGGTGGTGGTGGTGTTAATAGTGGTGGTAGGGGTGATGGTGTGGTGCTGGGGGGTGTGGTGGTGGTGTTGATAGTGTGGTGGTGGTGATAGTGTGGTGGTGATAGTGTGGTGGTGGTGGTGGTGATAGGTGGTGGTGGTGGGGGAAGAGGAGGAAGTAGGGAGGAAAAGAGGGAGGAATGAAGGTAAGGTAGTGAAGGAAGGATGAAAGAAGAATAGGCAAGGCTGGGTGAGAGAGAGAGAGAGAGAGAGAGAAGAGAGAGAGAGAGAGAGAGAGAGAGAGAGAGAGAGAGAGAGAGAGAGAGAGGAGAGGATAATAGACATAGTAGGTAGATAATGAAGAAGGTTTATAAGAGAAAATAAAGTAGGAAAGGGTACATTTACTTTCTTCTCCTCCCACACCCTCCCTCCCACATACATTATAACTCTCCTTTATTTTTTCCCTTCCTGAGTTAAATCGACAAACTTGGGACTCATTCTTCATGATAGAGAGAGAGAGGATGAATTATGGAGATGGAGGGGAGGGGAGAGAAAGAGAAGAAAGAAGGAGGGAACAAAAAGAGAGAGAGAGAACACAGACCATCCTGGATAACATATATCTAATATAATCTCTACGTCATCCTGGAGGAAAAAAACAAATATTACACACTTTTTTTCTAGGAATTACAATTATAAACAGAAATATTCCTTGACGTTCCTGGAGAAAAAATATATTCTATGGTTTACTTATTTTTCCTAGGATGACCTAAACTGTAAGGCAATATATATATATATATATATATATATATATATATATATATATATATATATATATATATATATATATATATATATATATATATATATATATATATATATATAAGGATATGTGTGTGTGTTTATATTATCCTAGGAACCATATTAATGATCTTTTAGAGTCATCAATTTTCCCAGTATGAACAAGGTCATTAATTAGTTAATATGGCAGCAACTCTCTGCAAATTACCCTAATTATGAAAGTTTGAAATAGAAAAGTGTTTTAATGTGAAGTGTACACACACACACACACACACACACACACACACACACACACACACACACACATCCTCTCCAGTTAGTGCAGTCTGCCAAACTCCTGGGTGTTACCATAGACCACAAACTGGACTGGAAGGCCCATGTAAACAGCACAGTCAAGGCAGCCTCGTACCGACTCTACATGCTACGGCGACTCAGGTCACTTGGGGCACCCACGCCAGAGCTGAGGACTGTCTACAACGCCTTTATTCTCCGCTTTGCAATAAACAGATAAATTGTACCGGGAATTCCCCCCCCCCCACACACTCATCATTCTGTCACTTTATGTAACTTGCTGACAAAACCCATGACCCTTCAGGCTTTTACTCCCTTAATGCATGAGTCATAAAGGCAAGCATGAACTCAGCATGCTTCCCATATGCTTCCCTGATGGGCGCTGTAAACGCTTCTGCACTTCACCTAGCACAGGATGTAAGGGGTGCCCAATAAACTAGCCCCCTCGTGGGCAATCTAAAAAAAAAATCTTTATTCTCCCCAAACTAACGTATGCGTCACCAGCCTGGTCGTCTTCTCTCAACTCTACCCAACAACGTCAGCTAGAGAAGGTACAGAAAAGGGCCTGCAGAATCAGGCTCGGCGCAGACTACTCCGGCTACACCAACGCTCTCTCCACCCTGGAAATGCCATCCCTCAGTGACCTCCACCACCAAGCACTAGCAAGGTTTGGCAGTGGACTACTGCGCCATCTTCGTCATCGCCACCTCCTGCCACCGGCAGTCCCCCGCCCACCTCGCGAAGTGCGCCACTACAACAAAATTCAGCCCATAAGAGCCCGCACCGATAGATATAAGAACAGCACCATCCCATCTATTGTTAAAATAATAAACAACTCCTGATTTATGTACTGTACAGCCCTGTAAATGTATTGAACGCATATCATTATGTCTAAATCACATGTAAGTTTGTATATTTTCAGCCACCGGCTGCAACTCTATTAATAAACCGCTTATTATTATAAATATTATTTTATTATTACACACACACACACACACACACACACACACACACACACGGCTTTAATACTTTCACTACTCAAACTCACAAACACCGAAAGTCTCAATAAATACACAAACAATCTTTTAAAAACTTTCGCCAATAAGTTCAAAAATTCTTTATTTGTTGTGTTGGTCTAAAAGTTACCTGCACTAATTACACCCTTAATACCTGGACCCCGTGACGTGTGTTGACGCTTTTAGTTAGGTGGGTAAACCTCTCTCAGTACCATATATAACAAATGTACAAGTGGATATGTATGCTGTAAAAGTATACATACACATATACATATACGTATTTGTGTGAAAATATCTATAAGAATATTTTCTTCTCATTTCACTGTAAAGATTCACAACTGGATAACATATGTGACGTCACGGCATCCTCAAGAGATTCCTATGGCAAATGTTCATAATTTGTGATGCGAGAACGGAACTAATTGGTTATCTAAAGCAAATAAAACTACCCCAAAAATTACTACAAAATTGCAATAACACTCCTAAACACGTAGATTTTATTTATTTGCTTATTTTTAAGCAATTTCAATATGATAAAAAAAGTATACTCAACAATAACATCAAGTTGTGAATCCAGTTATGAATCCACGAGAATCCAGTTTACCAGGAGTTCGACACCCACCCACCTTGAGAATCTTCTTGATTTGCTTGATGGCGATGGAGGAGACCATGTTGAGGCGTTCACCAATGGAGTGGAAGAGCACCAGGCACAGCGGGATGCCCAAGATGGCGTACAGGATGGTGAAGATTTTGCCCGGTACCGTGTTGGGCGTCGAGTGACCGTACCCTGTGGAAGATGGTGAGTGTTAGTGTATGGGCGGACCCTGCAACACAAGGGAAATATATATAGTGTAGACAAACCCTGCAACACAAGGTAAATATATATAGTGTAGACAAACCCTGCAACACAAGGTAAATATATATAGTGTAGACAAACCCTGCAACACAAGGTAAATATATATAGTGTGGACAAACCCTGCAACACAAGGTAAATATATATAGTGTAGACAAACCCTGCAACACAAGGTAAATATATATATAGTGTGGACAAACCCTGCAACACAAGGTAAATATATATAGTGTGACAAACCCTGCAACACAAGGTAAATATATATAGTGTGGACAAACCCTGCAACACAAGGTAAATATATATAGTGTAGACAAACCCTGCAACACAAGGTAAATATATATATAGTGTGGACAAACCCTGCAACACAAGGTAAATATATATAGTGTGGACAAACCCTGCAACACAAGGTAAATATATATAGTGTAGACAAACCCTGCAACACAAGGTAAATATATATATAGTGTGGACAAACCCTGCAACACAAGGTAAATATATATAGTGTGGACAAACCCTGCAACACAAGGTAAATATATATAGTGTAGACAAACCCTGCAACACAAGGTAAATATATATATAGTGTGGACAAACCCTGCAACACAAGGTAAATATATATAGTGTGGACAAACCCTGCAACACAAGGTAATATATAGTGTTGCAAACAAACACAAGGTAAATATATATAGTGTGGACAAACCCTGCAACACAAGGTAAATATATATAGTGTAGACAAACCCTGCAACACAAGGTAAATATATATATAGTGTGGACAAACCCTGCAACACAAGGTAAATATATATAGTGTAGACAAACCCTGCAACACAAGGTAAATATATATAGTGTAGACAAACCCTGCAACACAAGGTAAATATATATAGTGTAGACAAACCCTGCAACACAAGGTAAATATATATATATAATGTTGCCAAACCCTGCAACACACAACTACCCAACCACACCCTCTGAGACTTACCTTAATTAATGTCTATAAAACAAAAACAAAGATTAAACCATGGGTCCTCACCTGTGCCTACGGAGACAAAGTGGCCATCGACAAGGAACAAGGAACAAGGAACAAGGACATACAGTGTGGTGTGCAGGGAACAATGCGAGTCATTAAGCTAAGAGGAAGAAATAATTAGCACGGAAATACTTACTTAGGTGTGTGTGTGTGTGTGTGTGTGTGTGTGTGTGCTGACAGTGGGAAGGGTGGCACAGGAGTCAGTCAGCAGTGTCAGCTCAGTAGGTCAGCAGCAGATCGGTTAGAATGGTCAGCTCAAGAGGTCAATTAATGAACTAAGGAAAGGAGGTCAAACTGTACCTCGAGGGGGGGGGGAGGATCATGAGGTCAGAGGTCAGGTGAAGCCAAAAAATAGATCAGGTTGTTATTGTGGGGAAAGGAGAGAGAGGAGGGGGAGGGAGAGGGTGGGGGGAGAGGAGGAGGGTGTGGAGAGGGGGGTGGTTACCGGTTGGCGTCCATTAGTTTAATTGACTTGGGTTCCCCCTTCCTCCACCCCCTCCCTTCCTTCCTTCTCCCTTCCTCCTCCCCCTCCTCCCTTCCTTCTTTCCCTCTTCCCATCTCCTTTCTTTAATTTATTTCTCTTATTCCTTCTAAGGCATTTGTCATCACCATTCTCTCTCTCTCTCGTCTTTATTCATCAGTCATAATTATTCCATAGAAGTGAACTAAAAAAAAAAAACACACACACACACACACACACACACACACACACACACACACACACACACACACACACACAGACTAAAGTAACTAAAATAAAAACATCACTCCTCTTTTGTTATTTAGTGAAAAGGATCAAAAAATGTAATTGAAAAAAAAAGAGAAAAAAAAGTATATATAAAACTGACCCAAAATAGTGTATATATGTTTGTATTAATTTATATGTAAACAATGTATATAGTAGTATTAGTTTGACTGGTAAAATATTGGCCAGTGATTTAGTTTGAATTATTTTGTGGTTGTGTGAGGCAGCCAGTGTATGTATGTATGTATGTATGTATGTATGTATGTATGTATGTATGTATGTAAGTATGTATGTATGTATTTGTGTGCGTATGTATTTATGTGTGTATGTAGATATGTAATGTAAAAATGTATGTATGTATGTATGTATGTATGTATGTATGTATGTATGTATGTATGTATTCTCTCGACTTTCTACCCTAATAACAGGAGCCACTAGCCACAGACAGACAGACAGACAGACTCCTACCAACCTATATGACCTTCCTACACCTGAAGAATCCATTATGGTTGACCTTTGACCCTTGGTGAACCAGGTGTGGACGGGTTAAAGGGATGCTGAGTCATAAAAAACACCAATTTGTATTTTTTTGGGGGGAGTGACCTTTGACCCTATTTGACCTGGTTATAGAGGTCAAATATAGATCTAATTAGTGTCAGTCTGTGGTGGTTGTATCTTGACGTGTTTGTATCCAGGTGTAGGTAGGTAATTAGGATGATGTAATTAGTGACAGGTAAGTTGATGGATGTACTCAGTCAAAGGTAAGTTGGTTCATGTACTCAATCACAGGTAAACCAATCATGTACTCAATCACAGGTAAACTAATCAATCACTCAATCACAGATAAGCTTAGCATGTACTCAATCACAAATAAGCAAATCATGTACTCAATCACAGGTAAGCAAATAATGTACTCAATAACAGGTAAACTAATCAATCACTCAATCACAGATAAGCAAATCATGTACTCAATCACAGGTAAGCAAATAATGTACTCAATCACAGGTAAACTAATCAATCACTCAATCACAGATAAGCAAATCATATACTCAATCACAGGTAAACTAATCATGTACTCAGTCACAAGGCCCACACACCTTTACAATGACCCCGAGTACATAACACGCCATTTCTGTAATCATTTTAACTATTTATAAACTGTACTCGTGTAAGCTCAGGTAAAATTAGATGAATGACGACCCAGGATTACTGAACACCAAAACACTCCCATCCATTTGGCGGTTTCCTGAACTTTTGAATTTTATTAAATGACGACAAAATATCCACAAATCTACCCATAAATCCATAAATCCACCCATAAATCCCATAAATCCACAAATTGTATAAATTGACAAATCCCATAAATCCCACAAATCCCATAAATCCCATAAATCCCACGAATCCCATAAATCCCATAAATCCCACAAATCCCATAAATCCCACAAATCCCATAAATCCCACAAATCCCATAAATTCACGCATCCTCAAATCCCACAAATCCCATAAATCCCACAAATCCTATAAATCCCACAAATCTCAAATCCCACAAATCCCATAAATCCACGCATCCTCAAATCCCACAAATCCCACAAATCCCACCTGTGTCTGCTTATTAATTACTGTCTGGGGGGTATTGAGGTGATGTTAATTATCAGAGGTAAATGGTGTTAGCTGTTGGCTGAATAGGAGGTCTTAATATAGGTTTATGGGAGCTACGGTGACCTCTGACCTCTGACCTCTCTTCCTCCAAAATTGACCCCCCCAGAGAATCCTTAAAATGACCCCCCCCTCCTCTCTCCCTCCCTCTCTCCTTCAAAAAGTAGATAAGGGGCAAGAAATCTAAGGGGGCTAGGGGTCAAATATTAAGGGGTTAAGGGGGTAAATATTAAGGGGTAAGAAAGTAAAGGGATTAAGGGATAAAAATAAAGGGTTAAATGAGGAGATATAAAGTTAAGGGGTTAAGGGGGTAAAATATTAAGGGGTTAAGGGTGAAAAATACTAAGGGGTTAAGGGGTTAAAGGGGTGAGACGTGACGTTGTGAGGCCAATTACCCACATTAGTGACTGTCTTGGATGTGACGAAAGTTTTATTATGGAGAGTGTGAAGTCGACAAACATGGCGGTGGGGCTTTCTCTCACTTTCTCTCACTTTCTCTCTCTTTCTCTCCTTTTCTCTCACTTTTCTCTCACTTTCTCTCTCTTTCTCTCCTTTTCTCTCACTTTTCTCTCACTTTTTCACTTTTCTTCTTCAATATTTTTCTATTTCTTTTGGGAAGAGAGAGAGAGAGAGAGAGAGAGAGAGAGAGAGAGAGAGAGAGTTTCACAGGTAAAGTACTACTTGTTACCTTTCCTAATTACAAGTACACGTGTCTACCTTACCTATCAAAACGCACACACACACACACACACACACAAAACAACGTCTACATGTGCGTATTATCGTGTACACTTGTCTTGTACTTAAGGTTCCGATAACAAGAGTTTTATTGCGGTCATAAAAATGGGCGTTTAGTGCTCGCTCTGTCTGTCTGTCTGTCTGTCTGTCTCTGTCTCTCTGTCTCTTTCTGTTTCTGCATATCTGTCTCTGTTCTATCTGTCTGTCTCTGTCTGTCTGTCTCTCTCTCTCTGCCTGGCTGGCTGTCTGTCTGTCTGTCTGTCTGTCTGCCTGTCTCTCTCTCTGTCTGTCTGTCTGTCTGTCTGTCGCTATATCACATCGTTAAAATATTTTCCTCGCTGTGTTGAGACTTTAAAAATAATAAAGTAAAAAGATTACCACTATTTTTAGGTTTAAACTTGGTCCATATATCAGCATCTCCACACACTATTAGCACTGTCTTCCTCCCTATCACCATTACCACCACTACCACTACTACCATTACCACCACTACCACCACTACCACAATTACCACCACCACCACCACTACCACAATTACCACCACACCATCACTACTACCATTTCACCATTACCACCACCACCATTACTAACATTACCACCCCACCACCACTACCACACTACCACCACCACCATTTCACTGGTTAATACCACCACCATCACTACTACCATTACCACCACCACCATCACACCATTACCACCACTACCACCACTAACACACCACCACCACCACCACCAACACTACCACACCACACCACTACCACTACCACCACTACCACAATTACCACCACCACC